GGTGGTGCTAGAGCGAGAGAGACAGAGAGAGAGAGAGAGGGAGAGAGAGAGAGAGAGAGAGAGAGAGAGAGAGAGAGAGAGAGAGAGAGGGAGAGAGAGAAAGAGAAAGATAGAGAAAGACTCTCTGATGAATATTACATACACTAGCATATGACGACGCTGCACACACGCGTGATAAAGGCCGTTTAAGTTAAATTATGGATAAATTAATGCATTTTAATTAATTTTACGATGGCGAAACTAAATTCGTTCGCTAGCGGTCGTAGCCGAAAAAAGATTCAACCTAAAATAATAATAATAATAATTTTTTCGGCCGTTCTTATACGTTCAAACGGGAGACAAGCAGGCTGACAGCACTTCTGTGCATGGTAAAATCTGATCTACATGCTTCACTTCGCTTGCAGCATCGCTCCACGATTTCCAGCTATGCTAATGTATGGGCAAATGACGCTGCGACGTAGGTCGCCGTTGACTGCCAAGATAATATTCTTCGGCAGTTCTTATACGTTCAAACTGGAGTCGGGCAGGCTGACAGCACGTGTGCATGGTAAAATCTTATCTACATGCTTCACTTCGCTCGCAGCATCGCGCCACGATTCCCAGCTATGCTTATGTATGGGCAAATGGCGCTGCGACGTCGGTCGCCGTTTGAATGCCAAGATAATAATCTTTGGCCTTTCTTATACGTTCAAACTGGAACCGGGCAGGCTGACAGCACGTGTGCATCGTAAAATCTTATCTACATGCTTCACTTCGCTCGCAGCATCGCGCCACGAATCTCAGCTACGCTTATGTATGGGCAAATGGCGCTGCGAGGTCGGTCGCCGTTCACTGCCAAGATAATAATCTTCGCCAAAAAGGCAAAAAGTAAAATTATATATTGGGGCAGGATAAAATATATGAATAATGAACGTAAATGTAAACAGATAGCGGAAGCAATGGAATTGGGCGAATTCAGATCAGACTGGATAAGAAGAACTAGGTTCCTCATAACAAAGTTTGACTCGGATAGGAGGCTAGACGAAGAGTTAACGGGGGGGATTAAAGAATGGAATGTTAGAGTGGAAAGAGCAATTAAACAGAGCGGTGGGGAGGACTGTGGTTGCCCCTTAGCCTGTGGTTGCGTGTTTGTAAGTCTACAGCCAGCGCACCTAGCGGAAGTGAACTGAAACGTGCATGGTAACACACAAACCCACAAACACACAAACCAACACTCAAAGACACGCCGGTAAAAACATAACCTCCGCCAAGCCCCTGGCGGAGGTAAAAAAGACGCCTGGTAAAGAGTCCTTTTATATGATAATAGTCTTGGGAGTAGCCTGCTCTATCAATGCAGGGCGGGCTGCTTGCCATTGAATAAACGAACTAGACACTGGGGAGGGGAAGATAAATGCTTAGTTTGTGGGAAAGGAGAGTTGGAGACCCTTGAGCACTTTTTACTAGATTGTCCTGGATATGAAAACCTTAGAAAAAGTTTTTTTAATATGATTAAACGTAGAACAGGGTTGGAGGCAACAGATCGAAACCTCACATGATATGCAGGAACAGCTGTTGAAAACTCCTGGGGTTTAGGGTTGGCAGTAGCCGTATTACTATAGTACAGCTTACTAAACAGTACCTGGAGATACTTTGGGGAGCTAGATCAGTTGCACTCACAAATCTATAAGGGGATACGGAATAAATTTTTTCTTTTCTTTTTTTCTTTTTTTGCAGGGAAATACCGATCTAAAAGTTCCCAGTCATACATACATATATATATATATATATATGCATACATACATACACTCTCTTTAGTACAATATTATATCTTAATCTAGCTTCATTATCTCTGCTGCACATGCATCTTGTATAGCAGGCGGGTGCCATTGTGCATTCTTCTAGCGTATATTTCGAGCACGGCAGCGCTCACGTCTCACAAGCATGAGCGTAGAGTAGACCAGGAAAAAGTGAATAAATTATTAATTATAATATTGCTTAATAGGAGTTTAGTTACACAACGAAAGCGACACACGTCAGGTGCTCTTAATTACGCATGCGCGTGCACGTATAGAATTTTTAGCTGACAATTCACGTCTCACGATATTGTCATTAGTGAAGCTGGTAATAATATTCGGTCATGTTAAAGAGAGAGCTTCGTAAGATGTGGAAGCCGTAAAAACGACATCGGTACAACACCGCTTGCTGCTTCATCATCACACATATTTCGTATTTTTAAAGAAAATGTCCCTATATATATCCCTACCAAAGCTTTCACGTTAGGACCGGCGGAAGCCATTGAGCTCAAAACATTTTCTAGAAAAATTGAAGTCTGGAGAATTACACTAGTTAGATTCCTCTAGTGGGACACCTCTAGTTAGCATACGATTTAATAAAAGAGACGAACGTGGAAAACAGCAATTATTATTGTTCATGGTAAAGATTGGACCAGTGTGGCTCCCTATCGGTACGTTATAGAACGTATCGTATAGTCGTTGTATTAATGCAGCTAGCGTGCGGCCCATATGTTAAGAGTACGCCATTCTTCTGTGATGAAGCCTTCGCCTAGAACAAAACGCAAAATATCTCGATCACTACAATTAATGTAACACGATAACAGAATAAAAGTACTAGTATTACTCTACGTATAATGATTGTACAATGTATGTATGGCCATGATTAAATTGCAGCCCGATAAATTTATAGCGATTAAGCCGATGACTTTAATAGCAATTATTAATGATGATTAGAAATGTGTTGTTACACAATCATGCACCATATTTTGTACAGTAATGAAAATGATAACGACACGGTGCATTCCTACCGAATCGAACGCTTGATGCGATCTCTGACGTCATGCTGTCCACCATCCACTGTCGTTGTACTTTCTTCGACGTCGTGCGAAACGTTGTCCACGTCACCGTGATCTCGGCGATATTTCGATTTAATGACGTCACCATTTTCTGCGCTGTCTCCGTGCGCATCACGCACGCTGCCCGGGTGCGCGCTGGCCTCGTTGCTGTCAACGTCATCGCTACTATCTGCTCAAACTCCACGACAGATGGCGCTCTCGCTCATAGGCTCAATCTACGTATATTGAGTGTGCGAAAGAGGGCGCTGCATGCAGTTTGCTATCTGCTCTGCTAGATGCGTTGCCAGAATCCTGGGTGACGTCATCCAATGCGCGACCAGCGTTGTCGTGAAAATTTTCGAACCGCGTTTCAGCTGTGACATTTCTCACGCATCGGTAGTTATATGTTCCCGGTATCGTCTCTTCGCAAACCAAATTCTCGGCGCATCCCGTGGGTTGACCCCGCGCAGGGAATCCTCTGTAGCATGTATCACCTAGACCCTAGACAACATCAAAACTTTAAAACGGCGCATGGCAAAGGTCACTTTTAGGATGAATCGTAGTGAAGGGATATCGGATCAAATGGCAGATTGGAGAGTTTTTCCAGGACTGATCAAGAGCGGAACGCTGTCTGATTGCGCAGTAGCCCACAGTTAGCGACTAAATGTAAAATTCGGAAAAAGGCTGTAGGCAGTAACATACCAACCGTGTGTGTGTGTGTGTGTGTGTGTGTGTGTGTGTGTGTGTGTGTGTGTGTGTGTGT